GTTGGAAAAGTGGGGGTCGTCTTGTACATGGGGGCGTCTTATTGACGGAAAAATACGGTACGTTTATGTTGTAAAATCCAATGATTCCTCAATTTGGGAGAGAGTAGAGCTACAGTAAGAACTGAACCAAAATGTTGCTTTGGGAATTGCTGGTGTACAGGAAGTTTTTCATCAGCCTTTAGTTTTAACATTGGGGAAACTATTATGAGCATTTTCTTCACTGCGTTCGCTAGTTATCTAAAAAAAGAAGTAACAATAACATTTACTTCTATACAATAAAAGATTAGACAAGCATATGAAACAACAAAGCAGGAAAACAAGAAAAATGCATCACAATCCAGGAAAGTGCACAATAATAAAATATAATTATTTTTTAAAATAATTATTTATGTTAAATGTGTTTATTATTTACCTAAAAGGTAAAGATAATGTTAATCTAATGAAGTCAACTGTTGCCACATTTTCACTGCAACCAAACGGTATTTGGCTACATTCCTATATCTTGACTGAAAGTTCCCAAAACAAAACAGCTTCACATAAAGAGACTAGGAAAACCAAGCAAGCTGGGAAAAAAGCAGACATCCCACAATTTATGAAAAGACCCTGGGATTCTGCTTTCCTGCCAATTTGCTATAGCTATTATTAGCGCCTTTCTGTGGATTAGCTTATTCCTGTGATGGCAGCAATATCTCATTTACGCAAGAAATAAATGAAAGGTTTATAAAGAAATTGCCAAAAAAAAAAAAGAAAGCTATGTTTTGGTTGATACTGTTCTCTGACTGTATTATACCCCTGGAATAAACATTGTAGGCTTCCTACTACCAAAGATAATTTCTGAATTTATCTATTTAAAAAGTCTGACCTGTGAAGTAACCTGAGGTGTCACAGAAATTTAAGTTATAATCTCCATAACAGTTTCTGGATTTATTAGAATTTCACAGTTGGGCTGTCAAGGCTCAATAAATTTAATTGTTAACACAGTTAACTGTTAACTCAATAGATTTAATTGTTAACATAATGTAATTGTTTACATAGATTTAATTGTTGGTTTTTCTTAATCTCAGGGAACCAGGGAGTAACTCATCCAAATTTCTTTTAAAATACACATTTATAGAGTTTTGGAATTGTGGTGATCCACAAATAAAGCACTGATGAAAATAAAGAAAAATGAATAAGCCACCACTTAGTTTTGATGTTTTCTTACAACCTAGAATCTACATAACTTTTTAAATCTTTCAAAAAATTAAGTTGCATTTATTCCAGATGTGTGCATAAAATTGTAGCCTTAAAATGGCATCATCTTCTAGTTAGGTTTAATTGGGGATCCTTAAGATTTAAGAAAGTGTTTTTTGGGCAGTGCTTGCAAAACCATTCATTGATCAGATTACAAAGACATATTTCCAGTGATGTAACTGTAAAGATACCTTCCTCTGCTTTTATCCAAGTTTTTTCAAGTCTGCTTTTATTATGTTTGCTGAGTAAGTCTGCTGACATATCCAGTGCCCTGCCAAGTAACAGATACTTTTGTAAAAAGCACTCATCCTGCCTTGATTCAATCTTGTTTCAGACTCTCCCGATGTTCTTTTGGGACTTAACTAGCGACAAGGTTCTTCATTGCTGGTAGTGCCAGTCTTGTAGCCTGTGCGGAGATGTTAGACTTCTTCATCTGAGTTTGTTGACCTCCAGAGCAAAAAATCCAAAAAATCTTATACCCTTGGATATTGTCCCAAGTTTAAATATTGTCTTAATCTAGAATACATGATAAATTCTTGAAATATTTCCTTCATTGTTTTAACAGAGTTGCATAACTGCCCTCACAGAATAAGAAATAAGAATATATGCAAGTGATGAACTGAATATAACATGATTTATATGTTTGTACTTGCTGTGTTCCAGGGCTCTTTAATCAATTTCACAGCAAATCTGGTCAGTACCTGCTTTACTATTCTTCAAAGCCAGGGATGAAACAGATTTTTCAAGTTTTTAAATTAATTTCATGTCGAAGCAGACCCTTCAGTGTTGTATACTTAAATATCCCCATCTTACCTCATATTCTAATACTTTATTCTCTGAGGATAGCTGAGCCAACATTATCTTCCAGTCCTCGAATACAGATGTTTTTCTTTCATCTGCTTATGTGCAGAGTCTGTTAATCTTTGCATGTTACAGAAAATCTGGTTCACATGACTTGTTATGTAGAAATGGCTAAAGAACAAGATATTTGAACCCCAGCATTAATTTTGGGTCACAGATTTTAAATTCAGGTAAATGGCCTCTACAAATACAGTTGTCATATTCAGCATGGTGTTTCATTTTGGCTTAAGAATGATACCATTCCATGGCAATAGATATATGGACAAATAAGGAACTGGGTCCATATGCTGCAAAGAAAAGAGTGAAATATATAAACTTTATATACACCCTGTTGGATGGCATAGATCTGCATCCATACCAATGCCTGATTTGGGTGAAGACACTACCTAACATATAGTGTTAGAAAACAAAGGGGCTGTGTAACCCATGCTAATTTTTTGGTCACTCTAAATCAAAAATCCACATCTCTCAAAGTATCCTTCATGAAATGACATAGAATTGAATCCATCCCAGCATTTTACTGAGTTTCAAGATCTTATTATGAATAAAATTAATGGAGCAAGAAAGAAAAGTGGTATCATCATGGGAGTTTATATCAGCTAAGTACCCAGGTGGAGATTGCTGATAATGCTTTTTCTACATCAACTAAGTTCTCAAGAGAGCAGGCTATAGCAGTAATGTAAAACTTCCAACCACCCTGTTATTTGCTAGAAAACTAAGCTAGGAATGGGAGGTCCAACAGATTTCTGAACTTTTGCTGACAATCTCATTTTTCAGAAGATGAAAGCAGAGACAACGGAGTCAGCTACCTTGAATGTAATCCTGACCAACAGAGAAGATTTGGGAGATGGACTGAAAGCGTCAGGGACTTTCAGGAAAGCAACCTCATGTTGTAGTTCAAGGTAACTAGGGGAAGTAAAACTGAGACAAATCAATCATATAGGACTTCAGGCAAATTTTAATGAAGTCAAGTGAAGGGTGGATAGCATACCATGGCTTGAAATCCTACAGAATAAACAAACCAAAGAGAGATACAAGATGCTGATAAACAAGGTATTCAAAACACAGTATTGTAGGATTGCCTTGTGCGGTGGCACCAGTCAAAGACAATGAGATACAGTTTCTTTATAAATGGGATTTTTATTATAAAAACACAGATTTCTTTATAATACAAAGTTTTTTTATTTCTATAAACTATTGTCTCTTAATTCCTATGTTTGTATCTGAACATTTATCCAACATTATTTACACCTCTATATTCTACCTTCCTAAATTCCTATAGCTCCTTGTAGCTTCTTCAGTAGTGATGTGTGATATCCTTATAGAGTGAAGGAGTAGGCTACCTCTGACGCTGCTCCACTAATACCGGGCTGCTCTATCTTGCCAGCACGCAGACATCACAAATGTCTGTACTCTGGACTGCTTGATTGTGCAAGCACCTGATTGACTCTTGCTGCTGAGGCTCATTTTTTGGCATCTTCTAGCTTCACCTCTGAATGTTTTCCCCCTCTCTAGATGTCTGGATTTTATCGCTCATGCCAATAATACCGCAAAAGAGCAAAACTGAATACTTCCAATAGTTTCAGACATGTATACCTGCATGAGAGCATTCTCTGTTATATAGCAGAATATTATATCTACACTGTTTGTTTTAAGCACAAGATGCTGTCAAGCACAAGGGAGGTCTAAACCTATTATGGATTGGCAGTATGAATCTAACTGGCATACAGCACTTACTGACATAATTTTGCATCTAAAGTATTATGTCAGAAGTAACTCCATGCTAAAAGATCATAACAATGTTAACAGCTGTAGATTTTAATCTGATGTAACAAGTATAAAGGGTTTATTTAAACTGTTTTTGTGTTAAACAAGAAATAAGCCTACAGATTTATGTATCCCCATGCCCTAAAGGACACGTCTGACTGCAGAGAAACACAGTGCACAAGAATTACTACAATATCTGAAAGACTGGTACTTTTCAGCCATTTTCAATTTTTAAAAACTGCATGAAAGAACTTTTTGTAGTTTGATAAGCATTACAACTTTCCGTATGCTGTTTCTTCAGCATTTTTGTAATTACGTTGAAGTTCAACCTTATCTTTACTGGACTGGGGTACTTTCACACCCAAACGAAACAGAATTGGGGGAAGGCAACTAAGGCAGCAATCCTCGATACTCTGAAGAGTCAGCAACGGCAACAGGATTTATTTCTTCATGATAAACATGTTCTGCCAGGAAGTAAGTCTAGGCAGTGCTTGCTTGCTTGCAGTTTTCCATAGCAGTGATCTTCTTGGATGTATCCCTAAAGTTGTGGTCCCCAGACTCCCTTCTCCAAAACTGAGTGTTAGATCTTCAGTCGAGAAACTGATTTCCTTACAGATGCCCCGCGTGGGGAGCTACGCTCTGAGTGGGAAATCAGCTGGACGGACGCAATTCGAACCTGCGAGGAAAAGGCTGTTCCACCCCCTCTCGCGCTTCCAATCCTCTCGCAGGCGGATGGATACGCACTGGCTTGGAATGCTTGACACCCACCGGAAAAGTTCTTTTATGGGTGGGTGGCCGCACTTTTTTTACAGCATCGCGAGATAAAAGAAAGCGCCGTTTTCACTCCTTCGCGTATTTTACTCAGAAATTACTCATTTGAAGGGGAGGGGGAGTAGAAATTTACCCTTTCTACGGTCTCTCTCCCGGCGCGAGATCCGAACCCTAGAAGAACTACTTTGTCGCGAGGAGAAAGGAGGGGGCGGGAAAGCGACGCGTCACTCCACAGAACGCAGAGAAAAGTGGCAGGAACCTGTCGTTGCGCAAGCGGATGCGGGCGTTTGCCAGTAGTAGTTCCGGTTGAGAACGTCGACGCCACTCCGCCTCACCTGGCTTTGACGTCCCGGCGACCGCTGGTTGGCTGGGCTGGCGCGCCCGCCGCGCCCAGTCGCCGTGACGGAGGAGGAGGGAGAGAGAGCGCAAGGAGGGGAAATAGGAAGCGCCGCCGTAGCTCTCGGGTTGCCGGCTCCGGCTTAACTTCTTCCTCTGGGTCGTCCGAGCGCGCTGGCCGCCTCCGGCCCTGTTCCTCTCCCTCGCCGCCTCTCTCTTCTCCTCCCCGCTTACGCTCTCCCCCTTCCCCGCCTGCCCCTTTGCCCTTCTTCCCTTCGCCATGTCCACCCGCTCCTGCCGGGAAAAGGCGCAGAAGCAGAACGAGCAGCACCAGGCCATCCTCGCCAAGCTCTTGCGGGAGGAAGACAACAAGTACTGCGCGGACTGTGAGGCCAAAGGTGCGGGGGGGGGGCGCTGGAGGGGAAGGAGGCGTGGCTTCCGAGGCTCCCGGGCGGGGCGACAGGTGAATGGAGGTGATGGGTGACCCAGGTGAAGGGGGCATCTCTGGTCCACGCGAGACGTTAAGGCACGAGGTAGGTTTCTTGGCTGTGGTGTAGAGTGTTAGGTGAATTTAGCCATTTGGGGGGGAAAATCTTGTTTTGTGGCCTTTGATTGTGGTTGTTCAGTAAGCCATGATGGCTTAGGGTAATATGTAAGCGCAAGCACGGTTTCGTTTAGGGGTGGTGATCAGCAGCTGTTAAGGCTCTGGCTTTGTGGAAGCATGTGGCAATAGCAGTTTCTGTGGTCATTTAGTTGTGTTATAGTATTGGATTTATCTTTCTGATTTCTGGTGTTCTAATTGTAAGCTAATTTTTTATTGTGTCCCTTACATTATTTTATTGTGTTCATTTATGTAACAATAATAAAATCAGTGGAATAGTTGGGGGGTATATAAACTTCCAATTATAAATCTGTCTACACTTTCATGAATAGATTAGATCATTATATTATTTCAGAGTCCGGCAAAGGTTTGTGGTTATATATAATGTTTGCCCTAGAGGCTTCTCAGTTTGTGTTGCTTTTGCTCAGTTCTCAGTCTTGACTAAAGAAATATGAGTCATATCAGAAAGCTAATATTGCTTTTCCTGAATGCACATAAGGAAATAGCTATCTTTATAAATACTGCATTACTTCTGGGAAACATTGGCACACTGAGAATAAAAGAGAGAATCCTAATTGCAAAAGTTAGTGGAATGTAATAATGTAGATTGTTATAATTGCATTGCGGCCCAATGATTCATTTACTTAATAAAACACCTGAAAGAAATGTCATTTCTTGATTTTCCAAATTCAGTATGTTTCTGTTGTGTAATTTCAAATCTGTGAACTTTGCAAATAGAAATTAAGTTTTTTATTATAGAAAATTGTAAAATCAAATTTAAAACAGTCCATTCCAAACTGCTTTAAAATATATTCTTTAATAAAGAATGTAGAAATGATAATAGGCATTTATATTAAGAATCTTAGGTAACAAACTAAGGTGTAGGGAAGTATTCCAAACCATTCATCCATTTTTTCTTTGAAATTGAGATTGATTTTTTTACCTGTTTCTAAAGTGAGGTCCACTTTTAAGGTTGATTCAGTCTTGATTTATTTTACCTTTCCTCCTGTTTCCTTCATCTGCCTTTTTTTTTTTTTATTTTCCCTCCCGTCTTTTTTATTCTTTTTTTTTTTTTTTTTTAATCTGCACTCAGTCGTTACTGACCCCG